CAGATTATTCTACAACAAAACTTTATCAAGTATCTCTAGCTAAATGCAGCCTTTTCACATTCCAATTTGACATATGTCTCATGTGTGCCAGGACCTCATCGACTCCATGTCACGCAGCTGGCAAGCTGCAAACTATGCATTGGCCCAAGTTAAGTAGAAGTTTTTTTCAGTACCCACTACTATTTTTATGAACAACTACATTTGATTCACTTTTCTTTCAGTGCAAATATTGCTAGGTTTCTAGCCTAAAAAAAAAACATTTAAATTAACACAAAACATATTTATCAAATATTATTAAATAAATCAAATATTATATTATATTCGTTCCTTATCACAACTTTTCGTGCACTACTAATTTCATAAACACTTAAGATGCCTGCCTTCCATCTCAGCCAACTTCTAGCCCTATATAATTTAAACTAAGTTCAAGACAGTCTAAATCAACTCAACTCAATTGTTAAGAATCAATGAATAATATAGTTTCCATAGCTTTTGACTTATATAACTTTTTCGTTCTCATCATCATTGCTTGAGCAAACCCCTTCGAAGCTCTTAATATCCGTTTATATTTCATGCGCTGCCCACTTGATATTTCTTCTCGGCGTTCCCAAGGGCTTTTATTTTTTTTTTTTACAATATTTTTGAGACACTTTTCCGTTGCTGTAAAGGGATTTCCGTTGAAGTTTCCTTAATCGAAGCCTCACTCATAAATTCATAATTCCATACACAATGCACTCAAGCCGAGCAGAGAAACTAAAATTTATGTGCGCACAGATGCCCGAAAAAAAGAAGAAGGAAAGAAAGAAGTAAATCAGCAGGACACTAAAGTACAAGGACACTTGAGTTGACGACAAGTAGGAGATGTGGAAATGTTGAGCGCACTACCGTACATAGCTATATATGCATATGCCTAGAGGCACTGATGTATATTCAACAACACGATCAGCTAATTTTATGTAAGAAATATTTTCGAAAGTGTTTGCCTGATTGATTTAGGGCCGGGCGGGTGTGACAGACATACATATGCACACATACATATATTTATATATGGAACTGGCACTCTGCTTTCACTCCGATTTCAAATGCTTCTCACTCTACAGCGAGCACACACACACATTCACTTATTCATATTCATATTCATTCATGTATGGCCGGTTCCCAGTGAAATCGAAGCCAGCGAATGCAAATAAGACAAACCCTAGACAAATCTTAGAGGAGATCCTTTTTTCTTTTTTAATTTCTATTTACACAAATTGTTGTATTTTCTCAAAGATTGAAAGTCAGCATAGCATTTTGAGCAGGATGTAGGCCACAAGAAATTCGAAAGTTAAAATGATGCTTAAATGCATAAAGGAAAGAAAAATGTATTTAGAAATATTTAGAAAAGAAATTTCTTTAATCATGAGTTGTACAAGACCAAAGGCTGTTCAAACAGATCAGCTCGGCTGATCTAGACTCTATATACTTGATATATGTCTGCAAATATTAAGGGCTGCTAGCCACAATAAATGTGGCCAGATTTTTTATCCAGTCTAGTCCAGTCTAACTGAACTATAAAAATTACACATATTTAAATATAAATAAAAAATAAATAAAAAACTAATAATTATTATTATATAGCTCAACTCAACAACTTTCAACCCTGCCACAAAGAGAACTAGTTCAAGACATAATAAATAAAAAGAATACTTTCAAGGGGTTGCTTCACTCACTCAACTATCAACATCATCTTCATGATCTTTAGCTTTATTTATTTATGATTATAATTCTGTGATAGTGCCCAAAGGCGAAACGCTACTTGACTCGTTTGCTCGCATAAAGCACAGCACATAATATATATATGTATATATGTATATATATATATATATGTACTTTACTCCTTTAGCTAAAGGATATACATAAGCTCCTTCATATATGCCCAACTATAAGGCAAAGCCACAGGCGTGTCGTGACGGCAAAGTGGGACGCAACCAAGTCAAAGCCTACTCAACAACAAAAGCGAACCGAAACACACACACACACACACAGTCACAATTCTTAACTCCTTTAAAAAAAAAAAAAAAAACAAGAAATAACAAGAAAAAAGCTTAGTTTGAAGTGAACGAAGCTTGAATATCCTTACAGAAACGGCTGTAATGATTTAGTTTAGATGTAGACTGAGTTTGAATACTAAATAGATATATAATATAATAGATATATATATATTTACATATATTATATACAATATATATTCACTCTATATTAATATTATATACTTTAGATACTCACTATTTTACTCGAATTTGCTGTCATTTCAAATTGTTTAGAAATACAAATCTCTTTACTAAGGAGTACTTCCTATATACAAAAAAGTATCGATACTTACATATATACATATACATACATCTACATCTATATTTATTTATTCATACTTAGTAACTTCTATGCAAACAGATTTATTATTCGAGATCTCTAAAAAAACTCAAGTCTTAATATTATTAATATTTTAACCGAACTCTTATAGTAACTATATATATATCTAAAACTCATATATTTACTCGTCATGCTTGTACATTTAGCTAATATGCTCCACAGCATACTCTAAGCTCAAAAAAAGGACCTCAGTACGATACAGAGTTCGTTCAGTCTGTTCAAACCGGTCGACCTCATCCTCGTCCTTAGCTACGTAAGACGTTTCCTTGAACTTTTCAAGTGAACTCAAGTTTATAAAATGTGTAGCAAGTACACACACACACACACACATACACTTAAGCTGTGTTTCAGGTCTATGCTCAACTACCTGAGAGGCACAACGGCAGACTCCAGCCATGACATAGATCACAGAGAAAAGTACCCAAAACCAAAAGAAAAAAATATTAAAATTTAAACTAGTTTCAAGAAATTGTTGTATTTTGTATTTTGTATTTCGTATTTTCCCACAGCACCCTAAATGTCCAAGCAATATTCAATAGCTTAAGTCTTAGCTCTGTCAATTTTAATTACAATTTATAGTGCATACAAATTGAAGATTCGCAATCTTTCCTTTGCTCGCTGCCTCCTCGTTCTTAATTAGTTCAACAATTGGCAAATGATTTCAGAAGAAGACAAATGTCTGCATTGATTAAGAATTATGATCGTGCACACCTCTGCCCAGTTAGGGGTTAGAAACTGAATAAAAGCAGCAGAGCCCGCAGTTTCTTTGGCGAGCTCGACTGAGAATGCCAATTTGTTAGATGACAAGCGTTAAAGTCTCACAGAATCACGCACAATGCCAAATGCACCTAAGTGATTAAGTGGAAAAGTTATATCGACTTGACGTCTTCAATGAGCACAGCAGAAGAAGAGGAAAAGCATTTGTCAGCCACTCGAGCTGAATATTATGTATGGGAAAATGCATTATGCTAGAATACTAGAACTTTTCATTGTAAGCAAATGAAAGAAAGCTGCTCTGAATGAAACCAAACCCAAGTTGAAATAGAATTTGATTTCTACGAGGCAAAGAGAGGAAAATACTAAAATTTCAAAAAAAAAAAACTTTGAAACTTTTATATTGTGTAGGAAAACTCTTGAGCAAAAGCTGTGGAAAAACATCTTTTGCGTTTTGCATTTTCCTGACAGAAATATGGAAAATAAAGCAATAAATGAAACGTATTGAAAAGCACTCTATATAGACATTATATTAAGTATATTTTAAAAAATTTATAAAAAGCAACAGAAAACAAAACAAAAAGAATCTAAAATAAAACTAAAAGGAAAAAAAATTAAAAAAAAAATAAAAATAAAAATATGACAAAATTAAATAATATGAAGTGAAAAATATAATGCAAAAATCTTATAAAAAATAAGAATTTAATATGAATAAAAACTTTTTCTTAAATATTTAAGCTCAATAATCGCAAAGTGCTGAAATAGCAGGGTTGACTTAACAAAACTTGAGCTAGAATACAATGATCGGGCCTGCCTAAATATATATATAGAATAAATACATAAGTTATATACAATCTGATCGGCTTGTATGCAGAATTTTACCCTATATATATATATATATATATATATAAACATAAGGTGATCTATGCTGCTGTGTGTGGGAACCAAGGTGCTCGGCACTGTTCCCATTCCACTGCTGCTGTCTCTATCTCTGTCTTGGTCCCTCTGTCCCTGTCTGACCAGGGCTGCCAAAGCTTATGGGAAGGGGCGGTATATAAACACGCACACAGTAACAGAGCTCTATGTTCGGGTGTTATGGCTATGTAAAGGCGCAAAACTTGGGCCGCAGCAATTCCACCCTTAAAATTGAACGAGAGGATCTTTCACATGAGTTCGTTGCGATCAGATGTTAGTTTTCCCAAAAGCCGAAACGAACGGAACAACTGACTGAGGTGTAAGCGACTATGTGTGTGTGTGAGAGTGTGTGTGGATCGAGGGATCGAGCGCAGGGACACCCAATACCTAGGGGATGAAAAGTCATATATGTGCGCCGATGTGTGTGTGTGTGTGTGAAATAAATGCCGTTTGTTGTTTTCATTTCATTATGTTTTACATAAGCAGAGCCGAAGGATACGTTATAATTTTTTTTTTTTTGTGTGCGCCATCAGTCAACGAAGTCATTTCCGTTGGCAGCGCTGCCTACGACGCCGCTGTCGACGCCGACGTCAACGTTATTGCAGACGCCCCATGACATTCTGGTCTGGGCACGCGACACAGAACGCTAGCAGCTGTCCTGCCGTAAGGACCTATACCAAAAAGCCAGCAGCTCTCAAAGAACAAAACAGAACAGAACAGAACTCATCGGAGTAGCCACAAAACCTAGTCCAATTACGAGAGCCCAACGCACCAGGAATATTTCGGCCAGAGATCGGGCAAAGGAGCAGCCAGCAACAAGATTTCAGCTAGAACACAGCCTCAGCAGCAGGAAGAGACTCACTAGGGCCAGTCCAACCTATTGTGTGTGTGTGTGTGTGCTTGCTTAGAGATCAGTTATAGCATCAGCTTCAGCATCAGGCCGTGTGTAGCTCTAACCAATGGCTGCACTGACCTTTAGTCCATCGCCGCCGCCGCCGCTGCCCAAAAATGGAGTCCGAAACGAAAATAGCAGCAAGGAGAATCCCAACGCCAACGCCAACGCCAATTCCAATTCCAACTCCAATTCCAACAATTCCCGCTCGGCAGTTACCCCACTCGGTGATAGCAAAGCCTTTGGCAAGATCACCGTGCACAATGTGCTCAGCGAGAGTGGAGCCAACACGCTACTTCAGCAGCATTTCAACAATCAGAACACAATTATACGCAAAATTAAGGACTTTGGCATGCTGGGAGCTGCAGCAGCTGCAACGGCGGCAACAACAACGTCGACGGCATTGAACAGTGCTGCAACAATCAATCGAAAGCGCCCGCTGAACGCCAATAAGTCGCACAATGAGGAGAACAAAGAGCAAACATTGACTCAACTCAAGCGCAGCAAGCTAAGCAAAAAGACTTCGAAGTCGAGTCAACAGCTGGAGAAGAAGCAACAGCAGCAGCAGCAACAACAGCAGCAGCAGCAGCAGCAAGAGGAGCTGGAGCTGGTGCATCGAGTGGCGGGCACACCGGGTCGCAAAGGCTTACCACTGCCGCAGGCCGTGGCCCGACGCAACGCCAGGGAACGCAATCGCGTCAAGCAGGTGAACAACGGCTTTGCAGCGCTCAGGGAACGCATCCCAGACGAAGTATCCGAGGCATTCGAGGCACAGGGCGCTGGACGTGGTGCTAGCAAAAAGCTATCCAAGGTGGAAACATTACGCATGGCTGTCGAGTACATACGCAGCTTGGAGAAGCTGCTCGGCTTCGATTTTCCGCCGCTCGGCTGCCATTCGAATAGCTCGTCCAGTGGCGATGATAGTTTCATGTTCATCAAGGATGAATTCGATGGACTCGACGAACATTTCGATGATTCGCTAAGCAACTACGAAATGGAGGAGCAGCAACAGCAGCAGCAGCAACAACTGCCACAGCAGCAACAGCAGCAGCAGCAGCAATTATTGCTGCAACAGCAACAGCAACAAGAGCAGCAATTGCTGCTGCTGCCAAATGTGACCACGTTGAATGGCTTGCAATATATAAGAATTGCCGGCACGAGCACCTATCAGCTGCTTACGCCGGATATGCTGCCGGATAGCTCAAGCTTGGAGGATGAGGATGAGGAGCAATTCAATGCATTAATTGACGACACAAATTGCCCGGCAGCAATTGTTGATGGTGTTGCAGCTGCCACGGCTGCAACCAGCAACGGTGAATGTGTAAAATTCAGTTCGCATTTATCGCGATCGCCCGTGCCAACAACAGCAACAACAACAACAGCAGCAGCAGCGACAACCAGTCGCTGCTCTTCACCAGCAGCAACAACAACAACAACAACACGAGGCAGTTCATCAATGCATCAACCACCAAGCGACGTTGCTGCTGCAGTTTCACCTGTCGCCGTTGCCGTTGCTAATGAACTCTTGTTGCAGGCGTGTGCCGCACAACAACAACAACAGCAGAGGCAACAACAACTGATCAAACAGGAATACAGCGAGGGCGATTTTGTGCATGTCACCAGCAACAACAGCGCCAACTCTCCGCCAGCAATTAACAACAGCAACAACAACAACAACAACAACAGTTACCAACAGCAGTTGCTGTGCGCCGGCATCTTACCACCCTTCTATGATCAGGAGACCGTCTCCATCTATGATAATATTGTTGCTGGCCTGCCCAGTTTTAAAAAGGAGTTCAACGATGTCCTGCAGGATCACTCGACATCCACAACACATAATGTGAGCGTCTGCCTATCCGACGAGAGCATGATCGATGCCATCGATTGGTGGGAGGCAGCTCATACGCCCAAATCGGATGCAAGCACTGTCGCGGGCATTTGAACCCGGTGGCCCGGAGAGAAGGATCGCACTTGTACATATAGCTGACCTAGAGCTTAGATCTATACCAAACAACCCCCACCTAGTGATCTAGACCAAAACTGAACGAAAAATCGAATTGACCCAACCAAACTTTTTTTTCTATTTCCTTCTCTTTTTTTTTTTTTTGTATTCCTTAAGTTGAGCTAAGAATTTTTTTGTCTAGCTTAAGTTGAGATGTTGAATTGCAGTTGATAAGCGAAATATATATGTATATATATGGCTATATATTTAACAAATTAAATATATGTTTGAAACAAAAAACCAAAAATTATACATTTTTTTTCTATTATTTGCAAAATTTAAGGCTCAAAAGGTGCTCAAAGCTAAAGAATTTTGCTTACTGAAAACAATAAATAAATAAAAAATATATATATAAAATAAATATAAAAACTTACATTAAATAAAATTTAAAAAAAAAAATAAATAAGAAATAAATAAATAAAATAAAAATTCATTAAAAAATATTGGAAAAACTTTAAGAATTTGTAATATAAAACGCTTGATATTATATCTTAAAAGATCTTCAAGATGCAGTGCTTAATTCCTGAAGCCTATATGAATTTATGAAGTAAAACGACACGAATGCTTGAAGACTTAAGCAAAAAGTGTTCCAGAGACTTCCATGCATCAGAAACTCTTTCATAACACCCTGAAGAGCCTAGTAAAGCTGACCTACGGCCTAGGCACTTGGTTTAGGTTGACTTAACTTATCTAATTTCCGACATACGCAACAGACTCTGTAACGCATCTTATCCTAAACAAAGGCTTTCTTTCATATAAATTTCTCATGTGGAAGTATCAGGTATTTTTATATTCGATATCAGAATTTTATATAAATATTTGTTAGCTTCATAATATTTGAAGGTTTTGGCCGCTTCATTATCCAAAACTCTCAAGCTCTTCAAGCAAAATTTATCACCTTTTTTGAATTTCTGGTCAACTGCTTTTAGTGCATATTTTAAGTAAATATTCTAACGGTTTTTCATTTCCATTTTATGCTATGCTTAATGACAATGAAACATGCAATGTCATTAGCATTAAACACAGAGCACACAGAGCAGCAGAGAGAGAGAGCCATATGTGCACTATGGACCAAGGGTCTTAGTCAGTCAGGCCGTCCCGTCACAATGGACAGGCCACGTACCCTACTATATATGCCTAGGTATATGGTATATATGTGGAGAGAGAGAAAAACGGAATTAAATCAGCATATCATGTTCATTTTCATAAGCGACGAAGCATGCAAGGACACACACACAGGACTCTAGATAGACAGACAAATATATGGCAACATTTGCATAAGAGAACGCAGGATCGGGTAGTTGCCCTGTGTGTGTGAGTGTGTGTGTGTTCTGTGAGCTGGTAAGGCACCGCGCCTCGCCTGCTTTTTATTCAAATGAGACCTCGACCCGTCCTGAGCTGCAAAACCCAACGTGGGAATGAAAACAAAAAAAATGTTGCAAGTGTTTTTCCATGGGATTTTCATTTTCATTTTCCATTTAAACTTTGACGACGACTCGCATATTGATGAGGGGCAAAGCCACAAAGTATTTCAATTTGAAGCTTATATTTTTTACCATCGCAATTCATCAACTCGGGTCAAGGTGAAAAGGTAAGATCAAAGGGTTAAAGATGCTCTAATTGATGATCGAGCAAGATTTGATAACATTTGATGCATGCAAGATGTCAAGAAATGGGACAATAAAATTATTCCATGAGCTGCATTCCATCAACTATTTCCTTACCATTAAAATGCATAATATCCGTTTGTAATATTCGAGGGAAAATTCGCAGATTTTCGGCAGCTTCTAAGACGCACCCTCAAGAAGATTCCCATGGAAAATACAGAAAATAATTCAGTGCATATAATGGATATGCATCATTAAAATCTATTGCAAATGTCTTAGGCCTTGGGTCTTTCTCCCTCTCTCCATAAATTGTCCTTGTCTGCTGTGTTGTGTGTCCTGTGCCTGCGCCCGCGCAGCTGTCCGTGTCCTGCTTTAGAGCCTGGCGCTCGAGGCACAAGACAAAGCGCGCCCAAAAGCCGAAATGATGCAAAATTATTTACACTCACACACACACACACACGCACACACATACGTAGAGAAATGTGAAGAAAAACAAAGTCGAATAAAAGAAGATGAGCCCAAGAACCGCAGTGAACCACGGCCCGTGCGCAAGCAGCAGAGAAGGAGCGACAGAGATGGAGGGAGGGGCGAAAGGTGCTGTGGCATAACAATGCGGCAGTTGCATCTGCATCTGCATCTGCAGTGCGCAGCTACTTGGACGCTTCGGGTAATGCGAGCGAGCCCCAGGGCCAGGGCCAGGGCCAGAGCCGCAGCCAAGGTAAGGTCCAGAGCCAGTTTTTTAAGACTCGACCTCGGCTTCGGTTGCCGGTTCGGTTTTCGGCTTCCATTTCCAGGTGCGTTTGCCTAGGCTACCCTTGTGGGTGCCCCGAGCTCAGTTTCTCTACATTCATCTAGGATAACTGTTCATCTCGCTAAATCCAGATATGGCGCACCGTTATGCTTATTAATATTGGGCCAGGTAATGCGACACGCCCTTTTTCATAGTGATCGAGAGAGAGAGAGAGGGAGAGTAACGCCGCATTCCCCTTCTTTTCCGCATTCACTCGCTCCTATTACACCTTCGATTTCGTGCGCTCTCAAATTACTTCACATTTTCGAATTCCCGTTGGCAAATTTTCCCGTTGCTTGTCAAAAATCAATTTGACTGCTCCGTTATAACTTCGCTGCCTTTTTTGTTCCTGATCCAGCCAAAAAGCGGGCTTAGCAGATGAATATTCATTGAGGGTTTTCCTGGCTGGGCTATTACCCTTTGGCTCCTCTTGATCAAGCGGCCTTCTGCCGCTGTATTTGGTTACAGAGGTTTGTTTTCTTCGTCTTCTCTTTATTTGAGCTGCGTACACAGTTATGTGCCACGCCCCCCTCTCTGCTTAACAACGAGCACATGTCACCCATTGAATATTCATAAATCATTGCAATGTAATAACTCATTATTCACAGACGTGTGGCAAGGCTCCGAAGGCTCCGCATATAACGTTACCAGCCACCAGGTGCTACGCCTGGATCCCCGCTGTAGAAGGCGAAACACGCGCTTTCAATTTACTCACGGTTAAGGCGACATTTGGAAGGAGACTTCCCCTGCCAATAGCGTGTGCTCTGATTGTGAGTGCGAGAGTGTTTGATCTTAAGTATCTAGGGGGAACTATACTAATTATACATCATATTAAGCTAGTGCGCTCTAGTCGAGAGTGACCGACTAGGAGATACCTGGCGCTCTTCACATAGCTGCCTAAGTGTGCAAAAATCCGTCTATTGCTCACAGAATCCTAAGGTTTATCGCTTTTGTAGCATTTAAGCTATGCTTCATCGATAGATTTATCGATTTTTATCGATAATAATAAAATGGAGTAAGCAATTAACTGTTTTGTTAAGGTTTTTTCGTAGAAGAACGAGCTATAGCAGCCAGACTTGATACAGTTTATGTTTTTCATATGATTAACTTTTCAAATAGATATAGAAATATATATATATCTATATATATATATGCATATTGTAGTAAATTGCATTTAAGAGTTCATCACAGGCTTAGGCGCATCCTTTTTTTGCATTTATCTCTCAGTAACCTGCGTAGCTCGGTTTTCATTCATAAAAGTTGAGGACACAATAAGTTATAGCTGCCTGGATTTGGGACTGGGTTAAGCAACTGATCTTGGTTTTGAAGGATTTGCGGTGTCAATTAAACGATTTCATTTGGCTTAAACATTAGTCCGTCTCTAAGCCGAGCCGCGTGCCTGGCTAAGCAGTGTGGCCACAGTCTTCCTCGAGTGGCTGCACTTCAGCTGGGACAATAAGGCACTTAAGTGTGCGCTTTGTGCCTAAGTCCTTAAGCGCTTAAGCAGCCAGCAGAACAAGAGGACAACATCTTGACCCGGTTTACTTAACACTTTGATAAACCGCTTAGCAACTAGCTGCGGTTGACCTAAGCCATGTCTGTGCATAATCAGACTATTTCTATAACGATAGTTGCCAATAGATATGTATATCTATCTAAAGGAAGTTATTCATTCATTCATAAGCCTCATCTATGTGTGTCTGAAGGCTGCTCCCATACGTTTAACACATGTTTCCAGTTGCTTCTGTTTCTATTTTCGCTGTGGCTCCCCCATCAAGCAGGCCGTCCTGCACATGTTTCACTGGAAATTTTCTTACTTTCTCCACGTGTTTACGGCTGCTCCTGCTGATCGTTCGGCTTATCCAGCTCCTTCAACTCCTGCTGTTACATGTTTTGACTACAGCACACATTGAGACATCAACTCTCAATTGTCTGATCGACAATTTTGACAGTTGTTCCCAGTTGTTGCCAGTTGTTGTTCGGTGAATGTGCAACTCGCCAGGCAGCATTTTTTGCATTGATTGAGTTGTCCTTGGCTGCTCGTTCATCCTTATTCAGCAATTTCTTGGCACTGTGGCATTCCTCGTAGTGCCATTGTGGCTTTCCTCAGTTTGCCAACTTCAATTTGATAATAGCCCAAAACAAAGATTTGGCAACATTTTCAAGATTTGTTTACACAATTCAAAGTGTGAGGTCTCTGCACTGAATAGCCTAAAAAGCGACAATTGCTACAATGACAGCCCGGAAACAGCTCAATCAATAGCCAAAATAAAAAAATTTCAACTCAAACTATTTTCATAAAGTGAACAACTGCTGAAAGATATTCTGAAATCAATATATATTTCTGAGATGTATGGGCTTTAGTTATTACGAGTTTCCAAGCAAGAGTATTAGATAATATAGTTGATTACCAAAATCGATTCAATTTTTAACGATTTATATGTTTTTAGTGAAGGCAATAAAAATGACTTTATTAATTTGCTACAGATGAACTGATCACCTTTTGATATTGCCCTTTCGCCTTCCCATTTTGCCTTGCAGCAGCAGCATCTAAAGGAATCCACAATTCACAATACATTTTCGTTCGCTTTTGCTAACATAATCCACAGCACGACCCCCCTCCTCCTAACCACTTTCAAGTCAGTCACTAGCTGCAGCTAAATAAATACACTCCACACGCCTTACTTATTTGATTTTTATCAACACAATCCACTAAGCCAGCAACAGCCATATTTATATATTAATACGTTACTAATAATGCATCTCTCGCCCCTCTCTCTCTCCTCTGCTCCACTCTTAGCAGCAGCATAAGCTAACACAATCCACGCATCTTTGCATATTTGCATTGCCTTTAGCTAACAAAATCCACAAAGAAAACCTACCGACTTCCTCCCTTCCTCATCATCCTTTCAGCCAGTCTCAAGCAGCAGCTAAATTACTGCTGTTAGCAGGTTCCACAGATGACGTCATATTTTCCTTACTTACAATCATTTCCGCTTCAGCAACTGCACATATTTCACTATATATTTACGATGTAAAAAACAGATGTTGATGCAAAAAAACAAACACGCAACTATTACAGCCCACGCAAATGTCAAACTAATTAGCGATGCAAAACGGTGCGATAGCTAACAAATGCGATTAATCGATCTGCATTTGCATTTCCAATTGTCACGTGCAGTCCCAGTCCCCCAAACGAAAATACTTGTGGAATGCCAGGCTGGCAATATCTGCATTTAATGTCGCCGCAATGTCAAAATATTGTTGTCCTTGATCCCCATTCGCATGCAACATTTGTTAGCATTATGTTGCGGTTACCTTTCACTAACTTAAGTTGACACATCATTTCGCAACTTTTTTTTGGGGGCCAGGCGTTCGCTTAATGCGATTAATCGGCGACGATTGCTACGATTGTGACAAATGCAAATGCCATTGTTTAAATAACGACAGCGTTTAATCAGCATGTAGTTGCTCGTCTTGGCAATGGTTGGAGGTAGAGCGGTAGATGTTCTGAAACGGTTGCGCTACATAGTGATGGTACCATTGGGCTGAGTCTGTGAATGAAAATGGCAGCATTAGCAACATGTGTATGTATATGTGTGTGTGTGAGTGTGTGGGTGGCTGGAGCAACTGAACTAAGTTAACTGACTTGTATTAAAGCCATTAGCTGCATACACATGTGGAAAGTATGTAAAGCTGAAGCGGGTAAGCTTCAGTGCGCTGGAACAACTTAAGCGGGTATGATGCATGAAGGAGGTTAAGACACACTTAGTGATAGCACTATTGGCTACATGTGTCTGACTGTATATGGGAGCAATTGAATCGGGTCTAATGCATTGTGATCTAAGCTGCAAGCTTGTGTCTGGAGAAAATTAGTGATGACACTATTAGCTACATGTGTCTGACTGTATATGGGAATAATTGAATCGGGTGCGACACAATTATATATATACATATATATATATATATGCGTCGGCTTTCACTTTTAAGCCTTAAGCCAGTTTTCTTATCCAATTTTCCAGCCACAGTTCGAGCATCGCATTACGAAACGGAAATCCTTTCGGTTTCTTCCGCTCTTCCTTTTTAGACGCCGTAACGCGATGCTAACAAGATTAATGAAGGGGGTGCAGACGGCCAAAAGTACAAGCAGGTCCTGCCACACACGCATACCGGGACACACACACACGTGTTTTCTGTTTGGTCATTGTCCTTTTTTGCGCTAGGCAAATAGAGTCCCGTCTACAATTACAATTTTTTTTATTTTTTATTATTTCGTCCTTTTTTAATAGCCTTTACCTGTTTGGACGGGAAATTTGATGCGCTGCGACCCAGCCGGAAGTTTGATCATTCGTTTTGCTTTTTATTGCAATTGTCGAAAACCTAACCTCAAACCCTTTTCGCTTGACATCCTTGAAGCATATCGAAAATGTCGCGTGCACAACTGCCAAAATAAACAACGGCAAATAAACGAGCCACTAATGATCATTGGCAAGGAGTCCTAGGCGGCAAGGATGAAACGTAAAATTGTTTGAGGTTATGCCTATGGAATAATAGATGACTTTTCGTATTGCTAGAGCAGTTAAAACGGGTGTATTTTAGTTTAGATACATGAGCTTATAAAAAGCTTTAGCGATACACATGCTTTTCAACCCGTTCGCAACAACTGCATGCGAGCGTAACAAATGGAATGTGAGCTTGAAACGGGTTAGGTACATCGCTTTAGTTTCACATACATGTATAGAGCTCATGAAGCGGGTGAACTCAAAACGGGTACTATGCAAAATGATGGCAGCACGTGGCTGTGTATGAAGCATGCTTGTAGCATTTATTTGAAAATATAAACTTAAACCGTAACTCGATCCACTTAAAATGGGTAATATGGATTTGGTATATAGAGTAAATGCATGTTTGAGCTCGAATCGGTAATGTTACATTATGTGAGCTTGAGTCAACTTGAATCGGTTAAGCTACATTTTAATGGCAGCATAAGCTATGTGACCGAGAATCGGCCGAGATACATTCTGTTGACTGCATTCGGTACATGTTTACAGAGCATATAAAGCGGATGCGATACATCGTAATATGAACTCTAGCTACATGTTTATAGAGCATGTGAACCGTAAACAGTTAAAATCAAATTTAAAAGCTTAAGGATCTCTCTAAAATGTTCTAGAGCTGTATCGGTCATATCCAGAGTTTCTGCGTGTAAGAAGAAGATGACTTCGATTATATTTTATGCAGCTCTTTTAACTGCCTTTGCGGTATTCGATATATATTTTTCATGATTTTTGGGTTTCGTATAAACCATGTGACTTAATAAATATTAAAAAGAAAAAAAAATCGCATTACAGACTAAAATAAAAAAAAGAATATATAAAGAATTGAATATAGAATGAAAAAAAAGAATATATAATGGTTAGACATAGGGACACCAAAAAAAAAAATTATATGACTTCCTCTATTAAAATATTTAAAATATTCAACTAAAAAGTTCGATTTTTTTGAAAGATTTTTTTCTTTTTCCTTGCTTAGTTGTGCTTAGCTCATTGACTCTGCGGCTGGATGTGGTATCGGGGGTTGCGGTGGTTGGGGGGTTGGGATAAACAGCTATATAGATATAGAAGCTGTGGCAAGTCGGGTCTCATCGGATTCGTAGCAATCGTCGTTTCGCGTCTACGCCGCTGTCGGATACACGCGTGGCTCGAGCGAGATGTTGAAGCCGTTCTCCAGCTTCAAGATGATGTCGCCCTGGAGCTTGAAGTCGGCCTCCGTGTCGGTCGAGTGCACGACGAAGTTGCGCAAGATGGTCGAGAGCAGGACCTTCAGCTTCAACATGGCGTATTTGCGGCCCACGCAGCTGCGCGGTCCGGCGCTGAACGGAATGAAGCTGTAGTAGTGCCTGTTGGCGGCGCGCTCCGGCAGGAAGTTGTCGGGATCGAACTTGGTGGGATTGGGATAGATGTCGGGACGACGATGCACACAGTATTGCAACAGGACGACGGTGGTGCCCTTGGGCACCGTGTATGGTCCGCTCACGAGCTTGACATCGTGATCCAGGCGCCTGGCGATCAATGGAACTGGTGGATACATGCGCAGCGTCTCCAGTATGACGCGCTCCAGATACTTCATCTCCATGGTGTCGGCGAAAGTGCAGTCCCTCAGCATATTGTCGCCGAAGATGGCCTTCTGTTCGGCAAAGACGCGCTCCTGGATGTCCTTGTGTATGCCCAGCATGCAGAGCGTAAAGCTGGAGCCGGCCGACGTCGTGTCGTGCCCCTCGAACATTATCGTATTCACCTCATCCATAATGTCCTTCTCGTTCCATTCGACGTCCGGATTCTTGGCCATCTCGACCATCGCATCAAGCAACGCCAGCCGGCGCTTGGCGCCCACATCGTTCTCATCGATGTCGTCGAGATCGTCGCGCAGTCCCTCCGTCTTGCTGTTGGCGGCCGCCTGCTTGGCGGGTGTCGGCTCGGAAATATCCTCGATGATGGCCTGCGACTCCGGCTGATAGTTCTCGTTGCGATCCTTGACCACCTTGCGGGTCATGCCCAGAATGATGTCCATCATGCGATCGCCCTTCTCGCGCAGCTTCGTAAACTTGTAGATGGAGTCCAGGCGATAGAGCAGCTTCACCTGACGCGTATGGATGATGTCGCACATGTCGACCACGGCCTGGGCATACTCGAAACTCTTGTTGCCCTCGGGCATCTTCTTGACGCCCATCGCTGTCGCCAGCAGGATGTCGACGGTTGTCTGCGACATGTAGTCGTGCACGTCGAACGACTTGCCCGCCTCCTTGGCCATGCGGGCGGACACGGCCTTCGAGTGCTCGACAAAGGTGGGCACGAAGCTCTTCAAGATGCTCTGGTGGAAGGTGGGCGCGATCATCTTGCGATGATGACGCCAATGGTGGCCGTTGCTAATCAGGAGACCATCGCCGAACCAGGGCTTGAAGTATCTATATTCCTCGGCCTTGGTCAGGTGCTGGTGTCCGCTCAATATCAACTCGATGTCGTGGGGATTGGTGAGGAAGACGAGCAGCACGTTGCCCAGCCAAACCTTCATCGTCTCGCCGTATTTGTTCAGATAGCCGAGGCCAACGGAAAGGATCTCCGCATTGCTCAAGCCGGCGGCCAAGTGGGCCATGCCGATCAGCGGTAGCGACGGCGGCGACGGTATGTTGGCGACCATGCGATATTCCTTGGTATTCCGATGCCAATACTCATAGAGCGCCATCACGATGATCGTGCCCAGCAGTCCCGTCAATATGGGCGAGAAGCCGCCGCTCTTTGCCGCCGCCTGTTGCAGCGTCTCCTGCACCGTTTCCACAGACATCCTTCAGCTGTTGTCGTTCCTTTACGATTACGATTGCTTCCTGGCTTCGCGTTCTAGCTTTTTGAGTCTCACTTGTCAACTGTTCGGTTGCGCTGTGAGTGCTCAACTGTGTGTGGTCCCTCGGCGGCATTGGTTAGTTATACTCGTCCATCGATAGATGGACTATGCGCACTCAGCCTGACCTGTCCACTTGAACCCATACGGTCTATAGTCTACCCTTCGACTAGCCGAGTTAAGCGTATGCCCAATGCGCTCCATTTGCAAATCAAATGTGGACGGATCCCTCCGCCCCGCTCAACTCAGCCGCGGCCTCTGCGTCTGCCTCTGCCTGAGCTTCCACTTTTGCTTTAACACTTGTCGTAAGCGCCGCTTCCTCGTCTTTCCCTTTCGTCTTGCTCTCCTCTTTCTCTTTCAGCTTTCTGCTCAGCCTACGTGATCGCAGACACCGCGTGTTGGGGCGAACGTTGCTTTGTTTATTGCTAGCGATGAGCGCAAATCGTGCTTTAGTCGCAATTGTAGCTCAATCGATTTTCCTTGACTCTTTTCTATAAGAGGCTACTTTAATTTCTAAAGCTGTGATCCAATTAGAAATGATCGTATCGATAAATATCGTTATCGATATTGATTACCTCAGAGCAACCAAATTTTCCTTAAAACTTCTAGCCACTTTTCCACAGCTAAGTCTAGCATGTGACATAAACCAGCCCACAGCAAAGAGTAAATCCACAAGTTATCGATCCCTATCGATAACTCAAATTATTTATTTATAGCACCGAAGCGTGGCAAGCTGCAAAGTAAAAAGCAAACCTGTCTGCGTTCCATCTATAGCCATATACAAATACGGCTAGTAGACTGTCGATAAGTTATCGATAATCCAGATACTGTCGAAATAGTTAAATTCATTTGCTTGAATACTTAGCACTTGTCAGTGGGACACGTGCCATCTTGAGACTACTCAATATACATAGAGTACAACAAATCGATAAATGTATCGATTGTTATTTTGAACAAATTATATCTAAATGAAACAGTTTATGTGAACCTAGCAGAAGGAGAGGTTAACTAACATGAGAAACACATTTCAAACAAAAAAAATTGGCGTCTAGATAGATATCGATAACATATCGACAGCTCTAACTTGGAGTGCTAAACTTTATAGGTAAATGTATTTATGTGGAAGCATTCGTAGTTGTTTGAGATGGTCTTCTAATAGCCAAATAGCTATTAAAAGTGAGGTTAGGTTAGGTACAGTAAGGTTAGGTTAAGATCGATAATTTTAGGTAAGCCACAGTTAATTGGGATGTATGCATGTAGAGTAGACTAGGGGGTAACTTGGGTACAGGGTAGCTGTGTGTCAGCTCTTCAATGCCACATTCGATTGTCGCGTGTCCTGAAGGACACGTTCGAACACGTTCCATCTCTAGTTTCATACACTTCCGCAGGATGCGTTTGAGATCTTCTCTCTCACTCTTCCTCTCTCGTATGCAAAGCAGCGCTTACCTGTGCAGAAATCTACCTGCAACGGAAGTGGGTGATATTTATTTGTTCATCTAAATTTCCTTGTTTATTATGATTTGTTGCTGCTATTGTTCACGAATTTTTGCTTTCGCTTTTCATACAAATTCAATTTCAGCTTATTTTTCAGCTATATATCATGGTGTGTGTGAGGGTGTGTGTGTGTGTGTGTTTATTCGCTTTTGTTTTCAATGTAAGCGGAACAATGCAGAGGAAGCTGTCGCTTTAAAGGACTTGCTCCGTTGTTAACCTATTACGCTGCCCCCTCTCTATCACGCTGTCTCTCTCTCCTTTTCTCTGTCTGTCTCTTCGTCTTTGAACTGGCTTAGCTCAGCTACCATCTACAGCTCTTTGCATACCCATCTGAGCTCTTGAGCCTAGAAATATGCTTTGATTTGCTTTGTTGTTGTACAGCACACGTCCAATTGGTTTCTTGTTTGATTTATTGCGCTTCAATTGGACCCACTTCAGATTAGATTAGATATATTCTATCTGTAGTGCCTATTAATAGGCTTCATTAGGGCAAACAATAACATTTCAAAGTTCAAATTGTTTTGTTTTTGTTTTTTTTTTGTAGTTTCTTGCTATGCGAAACAATTGGAATCCAATTAGATTCTATATGTGTATATATAATGGGTCTATGGTCTATGTAGATCATGTCTGGATTGAATATTTTTGAACATTACATTTAACATTAGCATATGCGCAGAGAGAGAGCACAAGTTATTCTAACCACCCAAATTTCAACTAATATGTTCTCAAGTAACTCCGCTTCTAGCTATACGATCTTAGAGCTAGCATTATAATGTGATTATATACCAAAGTTGCAGACGTTACTATGTAGAGTTTTTCTTCTATTATAATATGAGTCTAAACGTTGCTCAAGTTGTGCTGTAAAAGTCAAATGAAAATATCGATTTTTATCGATAAATTGAATTAGATATACTATTTTTAGTGTATATTTTATCTAGAGTTTAAAAAATTTCATTTGTTTATTTAATTTGATATTTTTTATTTCACACACAAAAATGCATTTGAAAATATATTTAAAAAATAAAGGAAATAAAAAAGAAAAGCAAAGTAAATGATATTACGTCAGTTTCCACTGCGAAGTTGAATGCAATGCAAAGGTCGAGGTCTTAAAGTTAAAACGTGTTTTTTTTTTCTTTTCCTCTGCATTTTCCTTTTCTATTTTGATTTTGATTTTGTTTTCGTTTTCATTCTCTTTATGGACTTTACAAACATAGAAAATAATAAATTAGGTAAATGAATGCATTTAAATATTGTGAACGCGATTTGGATTTGTATTTGGATTAATGCTAATTTCATGTACTCATTCTATATATATATATATATATATATATATATATATATATATATATATATATATATATATATATATATACGTATGTATACACACATATATAGATGCGTATTGTATATATTCTAGTATACATATATGACTTTTTTCTTGTTTAAAAATTTTGGACACAGAAGCATGTGATTATGTCGTTATACTATAATAATTATCATAGATTTTTAATATAATATATATATATATATATATTAGTTCATCTTCATCTATATGTTTTTTTTTAACGGAATTTCATTACAAGCTAAAATTGTCTTTTATAAATTGTTTGTGAATTTCTCTCGAGGACATAAAACCACAGAAGTTGCATAATATATCGATAGTTATCGATATACATAGATATCTTATATACTTAATAGAACACACAGCATGGGGCAACGCTAACGTGAGAACAGTTATCGCATATACATATATAACTATATATATATATATATATATATATACTTATATACAAAACAACAAAAAAATAATAGGCACAAAAGATACTGAAAGGGACAGGCTGTGTGTGTGTCTGTGCGCGCGCGTGTTTGTATGAGTGTGCGGGTGTGAATGTGTTTGCTCCTTGGTGTGTCTCCATTTGGCGCACTTGTCTACGTTGTCTCATTTAGATGCGCACAGTGTGCATCCTGCATGAGCTGCGTCAGTTTCTGCGTAAACGTTGGAATGTCCTGAAAGGCATACACAGATTGTATTATTAGATGAAGTTTAGACTTAACTAGCATTATTTTATATATTATAAAGTAATTGCAAAATATATTTCAGGACTGCATTTACTCCATAAGCATTTATATTAGGTGTTATCTTATCATTTCTTCCATTCTTCTATGTCTTCCGAATCAGTCTATCTCCATCTCCATCTACCTATGTCTATCTAAAAGCTATTTACTATACAAGCAGTTACATTTCTAATTTGATGTATGTGAGTCCTCCTATTCGAACATACGATACAATAACTTCTTTATATACAAAGATTTGGACAAAGCCTGACAGCCAAAAGCTTCCATCTAGCGTCTACCTAGCTCTTCAAGCAATCCAGTTTGAACTTATCATATATGTACTCTGTAATATAAGCCTTATCAAAGAGATATATAAAGAGTAAACTATTTCCTATACACATCTACTGTCCAAGCCTCCATATAGCAATCTGCAGCTATCTAGCTCTTTTAGTCTTCGAGTTATGATTAAAACAGCGATGATGATGGTATTTGTACAGCTGTTCAGTACAGTATGTTCCGATGCGATAACTATATCTACTGCATAGAGAGTCTATGACAAATTTCAAGCAGACAACTCAACTAATCTTGATAGTTTACAATGTATATTCGTAATGCTCTATCTAAAGCCGAGCTATTTATAGTTAGCTGATCAAACGTACAGTTGTCTGGCATATGTCCTCGAGCGCTGTTTGCGCAACGGGCAGCGCTGCATTGACGAAACTCTCGAGCAGCTGGCGACGATCCACCTGGCCCATGGCGAACAGTGCCTGGGCAATCAGATCAAAGTGTAGAGCGCCTTCGCCGCTCAACAGCAGATTGAGCAGTGCTCGCTGAAAGGAGGCCAATAGCTGTTCCTTGAACAGGGCACGTTGATAGAGGCGGCTGCGTTCGTTCACGTTCTGCATTGATACGAGCACGCTGCGCACATTGCTCGGATCTGTGCCGCTGACCAGCATCTGGCCATACGCATTCATTATGGCCATAAAGTGTTCCGGATGCAGATTGTCGCTGCAATTGAAGTTTGTTTGCTGCTGGCCATTAGCATGGCCATTGCCATGGCCATTGCTCAACTGATTCTTATAGAAGAATTGCCATTTGCAGGTGAGCACGCTGCAGAGATAAGTAGACAGGGATTATAGTAGCTGAAGCACTCACTAGAGGAAATAGCTCACCTGTCGAAGAGCGCAAAGAGCAGGCTGGTTATCTCGCTGCTGTCGGTGGCTGCATTCTGTTGCTGCAACAGCGGAAGTATATGCTGCGTGCTAAAGCCCAAAATGCTGGGCATCAGCGATAAGGAAGCGTTGCCCGGCTGTTCGACAACCAATTGAAACATCTGCAGCACCTTCTCCATAACAGCCAAGCGGCTCAGCGTCAGTTGTTCCCTGAAACACGCACGAGACACCAATTAAAAGGAGATAGCTATAGTATGCATATATATACATACCTGCTGCTGACATCGATGAACAGCGTTATCATCTCCTTTATGAACTGTGCGCCCAAATGGATGGGCAGCGTGC